GGGCAGCCCATCAATCTGGGATGGGGGGGTGTATAATCAGTGGCCTGGAGCTCCTAGCCTGACACTTGCTCTTAGGGTGGCTGCCCCCTGGGATGTGGAAACCTGGGAGTGTGGTAGGAGCACAGGGGATACTTTTCTTCTGCACCAGCCCTGGTGCCACTGCTGCTAGCATCGTGGGCCCAGCTCTGCAGCCCACAGTTCAGGATGGATGTGGCAAAACTGGAGCCACAGGAAGGGCTGGAAAACCAGGGTCCAGGAGTTCCAGCTGTTTAGCTTTGGGAGGAGACCATGAATGGAGTGTCTTGGTAACAGGCTCTGGGTGCCTCCATACAAGCCAATAGAGTCTTCAGTGTAGTGGAGGAAGATCTGCCAGGACCAAAGGGCTGGGACTTGAAGGGAGATCCATTCAGTTGGCAGTAACGGACACGTTTGTACCTTGAGGGCCAGACCCAGGGGAGTAGTCTCCCTGGGCGTGGGCCAGTGTTTGATCGGAATTGGATGTTGGCTGACAACTCTGCCCCAGGAGCCGTGTGGGGGAAGTTGTGTTCTGAGGATCACAGCTGTCCCTCTTGGCAGTGTGTGAGTGCCAAGACTGGGGGCAGTGCTGGGCAGGGCTGGGGGGAGCTGAGCAGACACTTCCTTGGTACTCGGGTGGGGAGAGACTGTATCCAGTCTGTCTTGCTGTTCTTGACCTGGGCAGATGGTTTGTCCATGCTCAGTTCTGAGGTGTGTCCCCCACCTTGCAGCTGTCAAAATAATACATCATGTGGGAGATATTGTGTATGTCCTTATTCTTCCACCCCTGTTTTCCTTTGGTTTGGAGGCCCAAGGCAGGAGATTGCTGGGGGGGGGAGGGGCACCCTTTGGTGTCATCAGAGAGATCCCAGGAGCAGTGCTTGGAAGATAGAGCCTCCATAAGCCAGGTATCTTGGACCCTTGTCTGCATGCTGGGACTCTGTACGGGGTGGGTACGATGCCTGTGCCTCTGGGGGGTGTAAAGTCTGCCGATGGTGATTTAGGAAGAGTACTCGGCAGGCAGGGGGAGGTTGGGATCTGGGATGGCACAGGATAGAGGCTGTCAGGCGCTGGATTCCAGGATGGTGGCTCTAGGACAAACTCTGGTTCCTGGCTGGGACACGGGAGTAGAATTGGCATTGGGGGTGGGTGCTGCGCATGGGGTGAAGAAGAGATGTAGGGACCAGCACTCACCAATTCATCTCCCCACATAGGCACTGCGGCGTGTGACTCAGACCACCTGCACCGGGGGTTACTCCCCATACCTGCCCCCAGGATGCGCCCAGCCCTCAGGCCTGCCCCGCAGCTCTGAGCCCCAACTTGGCCAGGTACCTGCGCCCATGGCCACTGCAGTGGCAAGCAACATCATTGTCCTGGATGATGAGGAGGAGGGGCTGCCCCCAGCTACGTCTCCAGAGCCCACCCCTGCCTCCCCCCAGCCCAGCGGGGCCTCAGACAAGAGACCAGAGCCTGTGACGCAGGATGGTGGCAGCTTCAAGGCTGAGAACGAGCGGCTCTTTGAGGAGGTGAGAGCCCTTGGCAGGGCCCCACCCTCCATGTATCGCCTAACTCCTCAGCCATGTCCTCGTGTATCCCTTCTCCATATTCTCTGCCCAGCTCAGCCAGCCAGGCCCCGCCTCTGGGGCTGTATGGGAACTGATGCCCCTAGAGTGCCCCATTTTCCTCGCCAGCCAGCCTGGGGGGCTTGGGGTGTATGGTCTGTCGGGCCTAAGTCTGCTGGACTGACCCTGCCTGGTCGGTGAGTCTGAGCCCGGCCCACTCCTCACTCTTGAGAAAAGGGCTTGGCAGGGAGGCGCATGGGGCCCACGACGCAGGCAGTCCATCGCTTGTGGCCTCTGTGAGGACTGAGAGCAGCTCTTCAGGGCTGACGCAGCTGTGGGGAGGGGGCTCTTCTCCAGTGCCTGGAGCTGGGCCTGTGAAGCAGGGTCCTGTCCCTCCAGCCCCTCATGGGATGGGGCCAAGCCCTCTCTCCGGAGCTGGGTCTGCTCCCCAAAGGGCCCTGAGACATGGCCTTGCTGCCCTGGGCTATGACACTGCCTCCCCGACCATGTCTGTGTCCTGCGGGACCCCCACTGTCCATGTGACCGTGTCTGTGCCCTTTGGGGCCCACCCCTGCCGTCTGTGCGGAACCCCCCCCCGCCCTCTCTGTGACCGTGTTTGTCCTGCGAGCCCCCCCTTGTTGTCTGTGTGAGGTGTCTGTGTCCTTTGGCCCCCCCCGCCATCTCTGTGACGGTGTTTGTCCTGTGAGCCGCCCTTGTTGTCTGTGTGAGGTGTCTGTGTCCTTTGGCCCCCCCCGCCATCTCTGTGACGGTGTTTGTCCTGTGAGCCGCCCTTGTTGTCTGTGTGAGGTGTCTGTGTCCTTTGGCCCCCCCCGCCATCTCTGTGACGGTGTTTGTCCTGTGAGCCGCCCTTGTTGTCTGTGTGAGGTGTCTGTGTCCTTTGGCCCCCCCCGCCATCTCTGTGACGGTGTTTGTCCTGTGAGCCGCCCTTGTTGTCTGTGTGAGGTGTCTGTGTCCTTTGGCCCCCCCCGCCATCTCTGTGACGGTGTTTGTCCTGTGAGCCGCCCTTGTTGTCTGTGTGAGGTGTCTGTGTCCTTTGGCCCCCCCCGCCATCTCTGTGACGGTGTTTGTCCTGTGAGCCGCCCTTGTTGTCTGTGTGAGGTGTCTGTGTCCTTTGGCCCCCCCCGCCATCTCTGTGACGGTGTTTGTCCTGTGAGCCGCCCTTGTTGTCTGTGTGAGGTGTCTGTGTCCTTTGGCCCCCCCCGCCATCTCTGTGACGGTGTTTGTCCTGTGAGCCGCCCTTGTTGTCTGTGTGAGGTGTCTGTGTCCTTTGGCCCCCCCCGCCATCTCTGTGACGGTGTTTGTCCTGTGAGCCGCCCTTGTTGTCTGTGTGAGGTGTCTGTGTCCTTTGGCCCCCCCCGCCATCTCTGTGACGGTGTTTGTCCTGTGAGCCGCCCTTGTTGTCTGTGTGAGGTGTCTGTGTCCTTTGGCCCCCCCCGCCATCTCTGTGACGGTGTTTGTCCTGTGAGCCGCCCTTGTTGTCTGTGTGAGGTGTCTGTGTCCTTTGGCCCCCCCCGCCATCTCTGTGACGGTGTTTGTCCTGTGAGCCGCCCTTGTTGTCTGTGTGAGGTGTCTGTGTCCTTTGGCCCCCCCCGCCATCTCTGTGACGGTGTTTGTCCTGTGAGCCGCCCTTGTTGTCTGTGTGAGGTGTCTGTGTCCTTTGGCCCCCCCCGCCATCTCTGTGACGGTGTTTGTCCTGTGAGCCGCCCTTGTTGTCTGTGTGAGGTGTCTGTGTCCTTTGGCCCCCCCCGCCATCTCTGTGACGGTGTTTGTCCTGTGAGCCGCCCTTGTTGTCTGTGTGAGGTGTCTGTGTCCTTTGGCCCCCCCCGCCATCTCTGTGACGGTGTTTGTCCTGTGAGCCGCCCTTGTTGTCTGTGTGAGGTGTCTGTGTCCTTTGGCCCCCCCCGCCATCTCTGTGACGGTGTTTGTCCTGTGAGCCGCCCTTGTTGTCTGTGTGAGGTGTCTGTGTCCTTTGGCCCCCCCCGCCATCTCTGTGACGGTGTTTGTCCTGTGAGCCCCCCTTGTTGTCTGTGTGACCGTGTCGGTGTCTCCACCTTGCCCTGAGTCCCATGCCTCTGACTCTCTCCCCAGTTCCTGGAGTGCTGCGGCCGGCTGACGGAGGAGCACCCCGAGGTGATGCCCTTCCTAGCCAGCCGGCACCAGAAGGCCAGTGCCGAGTTCCTGGCCTCGGCCGAGTTCCGCAACGTGCTGGCGC